ACAAACTTTCCAAACAGCTTTTTCATATGTAATTCCCTATGTAAAATATGAAGTAATCATTCGTTTGAAAGGCCTTGCTCACTGATTCTTCTGTGATTGAACGGCTTTCGCGTGGATAATCCTAGTAAGACCACGTTTAAATTCACCACCTCCAAGTTGATCCTTGCAGTTTAAATTTGGGGAACAAGTAAGGTGAATTTTTAATTTCGGGTAAATTATATTTTTTTAATGTCGGAAGCATTGTTATTGACATTTACGCCAAATTTCATGTCAATGTCATCATTGGTATTTTAGTTACGCTTGTGCTTACTAAACGACTAAAAGTGTCTTCGTGGTTTTTGCATCATAATAATGCACACAGCACTCATTCTTCGCGACCATTTCGCTAAATATTCCACGAAGATCATTCCCCAACCACCGTATTTGCCGGACTTCTGGCTCTTCCAAAAGCTCAAGAGACCACTTCGGGGACACCGTTTTGAGTCGATTGAGGAGATTAAACGTGTAGAAGAATAAATAAAGATTTTTAATTTCACAAACAAATTCACCTTACTTTTTGCTCACGGTAGTATACACCTAGAACAATTATTCACAGATTTCCTTCGCTTTCCAACCTTTCAAATAAAGCATCTAATCCCTAAATAAATAATTTTAATTAATTTCAAATTTTTTCAATTAAAAAAAAAATAGTCTGTCATGTCAACTTCATGTGACTGCTTTTGAGTATTTGAAGCCATTCTGTGAATTAAGCTGGTACTGTCTCCAGAGAGTCCATTAAAAAAACACAGCGAATGAAATAAATTGCGATCCCTACATCCTTGATAAAGAAATCTCTACACTAATGACGCATTAATCCGAGATAAAAAAAAATTAAAGTATATTCTGACAGATCTCCACATATAGAAAGATCTGCAATAGCTAATGCACTTTAAATCTCTTTTTCTCTTTTCAAATTATGCAAGAAAATCATGAAATAATGTAATTATAATTTATTTAAATTTTCACCCGTCAAATGCAAAATAAACATATCAGCAAAAAAGATTTTGAATATTCTCCGTATAAGTGTGTTTTCAACCTCATTGGAATGCAGCAATCTATCAGCGTGAAACATTCAAATAGATACTTTAAAAATCTATGACGTTTTGTAAACAATTCAAGCGTATTATTGTAATGAACAGTCCAATGAATGAAACGGAAAATTATCTTAAACAGAGGGAAGCTCATACACATATGTACATATATGCATATATTTACGTAAATATTAAATAAAAATTTCGTAGCTAGATTTTCTATTCTCAAATTCAAGATTTTTTTTTTTCAAAAAAATAATATATATATATATATATACGGGTATGTTATTTGAATTTAAAAATATTACCAACTTGGCTGAAGATGTCTGCATTTAAGTTTTGAGCATTCTTATTTTATACTTTTTAAAAATCGATCAGAGTTGGCCGTATTAATTCCGAAACTCTGGTTGAATATAGAAACGTCTTTATAAGAACAATAGCTGATAAGTAAGATATACATCAATAAATATGTAAAAATATAATAAATTCTTATTAATTTAGTAAATTCGTTAAACTAAATAATATTGTCTGAACAATGACCTACGATCAAAAAAAATTAAAAATTGGCAGCGTTTTAAAAAAATAGTCGAATTGTACCCGAAATTTTGGTCGCTTTGGCCTGCCAAAATTCGATTTTTTGATCAGATCAAAAATCAATAGGTCATTGTACGGAGAACTATATATAGAACATGTAAAAAAAATCGATAGTGATCGGATCATTTGTTTTTGAGTAATCACTGCAGCAAATTCGGAAAAATGCTGTTTCGAGAAAAAACGCGTTTAAAGATAAAATGATCGTTTTCTCTCGTAGCTAATGAGACTCTCTTGCTGCCGAGTGGCTGCTCTTTAAATTGCTATAACTCAAAAACTATTTGAGATATCGATTTGAAATTATTAATGTTATTTTTAAAGGCGTAATTTACCGAAATATGAAAAAAGATTTTTTTTGAAAGTTCACACTAGGTGTGTCCCTTAATTGTCTCAGCTCAATGGTACACTCAGAAAATCATAATCATATTTTTTCGGACTGCTGGAATCTGTAACAATAAAACCAAAAACCGCAGAGAACTGCCGTAGATTATTTAACATGATGGATGAGCAGTATTCTTTGAACTTGGTAGACCCCTATAGAACACAGTAACATACCGGGTAATGAGACGGCGGACGAGCTTGCAAGAAAGGGCACTTTTGTTTCCTTTCTTTCACTATCATGAAAGAGTTTGGGCACGCCACTCTCCACTTGTAAGTTCAATATAAAAGAGCGCCGCAGTAGCCGAGTGATTAGCAGTGCGTACAGCCATTCGAAAGACTTGGGTTCAAATTCCGGTGTAGTACTAATATTCCAAAAACTTATAGAAAATTAATTTAAATAAATAATTAAGTTAAATTTTCTAATTGCGGTCACCCCTCGGCAGGGAATTTCACCTTTCCGAGTGTGTTTCGGACATGAAATAAAGGCTCCTCAAAAAAACCCCATCAGCCGTTCAGAGGCGGCTTAGTATAAATTGTAGACCCCTCCGTTTTTTGGAAAAACATCAAGACGCCAATTATATATGTATCAAGTGGCCGGAGTGCAACAGAAGAAAGTCAAGTGACCTTATTGAGCTTTTAAAAATTTATACATCTACAGATATAGGTCTTCTTATAATGCATATGGCAGGATGGCGAAGAGGAACCTGATTCTCTAAGGTACTTCCTTTGCGATTGCCTCACACATTAGTATGAGATTAGCGGGAGGTAGTCATTCGGATCCTCAGTGGGCTCGTTTTATGGCCTAAGTGAGCCGACAACCACTTCAACCAACCAACCAACGTACATTTTACGCTTAGTTTGCAAAAATTTACGAGGCGGTCCTTCGCTAATAATGTCAAGGTTTTATCTTTACAATAAGAAAAGAGATTTTCTATCGGCGATAGTTCTGCATTCTCCAACCTCAGCAAAGATGGGAAGCGAATACATCTGGTAGTGAACAATGACAGCACGAAATATCTTCTTTCGTCAAAAAAGGCTATCTTAGTATGTAATTTTCAAAGGTGTAATCTACTGAAATATGGAAAAAAGGTCGATTGTTTTGAAAGTTCACACTAGGCGTGTCACTGTTTACAGTCATAAGTTCGACATCGTAGATAGCGACCAGTATTAAAACCCATAATAAAATCAGCATTGAGATACAACGCAGAACCACTCTCGCCAACAGCTGTTAATTTGGACTGAGTGGGCAATCGAAAAGTAAAGTCCTCACCCGAGAGAAGAGTTTTGGTATGTTTCTTTGCGAATAAATCCCCGTCTAAATAAGTATCGCCGAAAATGCACGTTAACGAAGGCAGAAGAACAGCTTCTAATACATTTATGTACCTTTGACTGTACATGCGAACCTCGCGAACGAACATTTCGCCGACACCATCAGCAGCTATGCAGCCTCAGATCATAATGCTGCCTCCTGCATGCTTGACAGTCGCCTCACGGACTTCACACCAGTTATTCCAAAAATCTGTAGAAAAGAAATGCTTTCTGAAGTTTTCTGTTATGTCTTCAAAATTGCTCTAGGGTAAGAAGTTATGATCTTAACTAAGCTTACCTCGAAGTTTGATTCATCAGACCACAGAACATTCGCCCAATCTTCTTCCGTTAAATTTTGGTATCGGCGAGCCCATTCCAAACGATTTTTCGTATTCTTTTCCGAGAGCTACGGCTTCTTTCGGGCTTACATCCTTTTAAACCTGCTTGCTGAAGTCTTCTTCTAGCTGTACTCTAGTACTAACTGGTTTACTAAAGAAGATTTTTTGCATTTCTTGAGAGATTCGCGTATAAGTATTCGGTCTTCACGTTTACTGGTTAGACGTTTTCTTCCACTTTTTGATTTATTATTGTCTCTACAAATCGCCTGATAGCACATTGGACCGCGCACCGCGAACATCTCACCAAATTGGCAATCTCAACCTGAGACTTACCTTCTTCACTTAGAACTGAAATTATAACTCTATCACCGTAACTTATTTCACTTTTTTTTAAGGTATTTCGGTAAATATGAATTGTTTTTATATTATATTTTTATTTATTTATTTATTTATTTTCAAATACTTCAAAAGAATTAAGTTCTTTTTTTACATAATAAATTTTGAAAACAATTAACAAAATATTTTGGTGTTGTTCGGTCCCGAAAATTCGAAAATCCCGAAAACCTTATAACGTTCACTATCTAGAAAAAAAAAATATATATTATATATAGATATAGGTATGTACATTTATGTTTGTGTGCACCTAAATAAACTTATATCGCTAATGGAATCTGTGTCGACGTGAGTGGAGACATTTTTTACTTATTTACATAATTTTGAATACACCAAATTCATAAAAATAAAACATAAAATATAATATATGAAATTCCACACACTCACACATTACCTCGTTCTCAAAAAAAAAAACAAGAACTGCCAAAGAAATGGAGAAAATAAATTTAAAATATTTAAATAACAAAAATCATATAGAGCCAATACACAAACAACAGCAATTCAAATAATAAATTGCTGCAAGCGAGTGCCGATCTCATATGCTTGGGGTCGAAAAATGCCTGCGACAATAGCGACAACAAAGAGCAAATGTACCGAAATTCGGAACTCATAGAATCCAGCATACTCGTATATAGCATGTATGCATGCGTACATATGTATGTATGTATGTATGTGGGTATGAGGTGGGAAGGCAGAGACATTTGGCAACGGTCTGGGTAAATGACAGCGGGAAGCAAGCAAAGTCGTGTAGGCTGCGACTGGCCGTTAATGACGTCGATCGTGCGGCAAATTTCGAAATAGCAACATTCGTTGTTGTTACCACATTCGCTACTCTATCTCTCTCCTACCCCGTACTTCCCGCATCCTTAGTTGCCCGATCGTTGCTGGCGCTGCAGCCATGGCACGACCGCTGGTCGCTTTGCTTTGGCAGTTGGACGACGCGACTCATAAAGTGATAATCGGGCGGCCAGCCGAACCGCAGAAAATCGAAACATTCGTAAAATTCTTAATTGAATAATAATTAATTCAAAAAATTTTTAAGTAGGTGTTGGAATTTACATTAGATTGTGAAAGTTTGCTTTTAGTAGCTATAAGTATTAAAGAATTGTGTTGAATTCCAAAATATATGAAATTCTAAATTGCAAGGCTTTTAAAACTAACGAGTTGGTGACTACTAAATCGAAACATCTGGAATTTTATGTCTAAAGTATAAGATTTAAATTAGTTTGATAGTGCGAATTTCGAAATAAAAAAAATTATATATAAAAAGTTGTGCAAACCACTAAAAAAAAAAAACAAATTAAAAAAAAAATTAATAAAATTTTACTTCGTTCTCAATTTTAAGGCCTCAAGCTCTTCTTGAAGAAAGTAAACATTTAAGCTGTTCTTAAGCGAAAACACGCAAAATGCAAGTTTTCGATAATACTATGGTGAGTTTTTTATGATTAGTGAAAAAACAAAAATATTTTTAAGAAGTTACATTTATATTTTTTAAGACAACAACGCTTTACTCCCCAAATCCTTCCACAAAATGGAATATAATTCTCATAATTTATCGGTCAAACCATTTTAATATAATTTTTAGACATTTAAAAAGATCGGAAGAAAAATGTTTAATCTTACATAGAGAGTTTTAAGAGATTACGAACATACTAGACATAGCATTTATTTTTACATACATATATTAAAAGTCATTTAACGGCCATATCCGGTTCAGGATTTGAGTTATCCTACAAACCTTTGTCACTGGCAAAATACTGCTTCTCTCAAACAAACATATATAAAGTACTGGGAAAAAATTATACTTACATTTAAACAACTTCAGCTCAGACATCTGGTTATATCTCTTTCCATTTAGAAAACATGCGGGTTTAACTTTTTTATCTTCCTTACTATTTATTTAGGTGGTTTTTTTAATTTTTACTTTTAACTTTGCTTCAAGATTTTAATTAAATTGTTTATTTCATTTTGTTTTAATTTTTTATATTATATTTTTAAATTTAATTTTTTTTTTGCTTTTATTTAATTCAATTTAATTTTATTATATACTATATTATGATATCTAATAAATTTAAATTAACTTATTTAATTTTTTTTTTTTAATTTCAATTTTTTATAGTATTTTATGCTATTTTATTTTATTGTACTTTATTTGTATTTTATTTTAATTTACCTTATTTTGATTTATTTTTTTATATTCTATTAATTTATTTGATTTTCTTTTATTGTATCTTATTTAATTTTTTTATTATTAAATTTTGTTTTTGTGTATATTATTTTATTTTTTTTTCATTTTGCATTTTTTATTTTGTGTTATCTTATTTTATTTTTTTATTAATTTCCTTAATTTTATTTTGTTTTTACTTATTTTTTTTAAATTTAATTTTATTTAATTAAGTTTCATTTTAGATTATTTTATTTTTTTTCTTTAAATTTTTTATTTTATTATATTTACTAACTTTCCTTTTACTTTTTTTATTTTATCTTATTTTTGTTTGTTTTGTCTAATTAATTTAATTTATTTTTTTTCATTTCGCTTTTACCTTATTTTATTTCAGTTTATGTTATTTTATTTTATCTTTATTTATATTATTTTACTTTATTTGTATTTTATTTCATTTTAATTTATTACATTTCATATTAATATAATTTATTTGATTTGATATGATTTTATTTTATTTTAATTCTGCTTCTTTTAATTTTATTACCTTTATTTTGTTTTATCTCATTTTTTTATTTTTCTATTTTATTATTTGCTTTTAATTTATTTTATGTCGGTTTTTTAATTTTTTTTTGTATTATATTTTCCTTTAGTTTTATTTTATTTTAGTTTAACATATAATTTTTTATTCCCTATATTTTATTTTTTTTATCTCATATAATTTTATCTCATATTTATTTATATTACATTTTATATTAATATAATATAATTTATTTGATTTGATTTGATTTTATTTTTTTAATTTTGCTTCTTTTAATTTTATTAACTTTATTTTATTTTATTTCATTTTTTTATTTTATTTTACATTATTTACATTAATTTTGCTTCTTTTAATTTTATTAACTTTATTTTATTTTATTTCATTTTTTTATTTTATTTTACATTATTTACATTTCATAATATTTTATTATTTAAGTTCAATTTATTTTATGTCGGTTTTTTTATTTTTTTATTTTATCTTATATTTTCATTTTGTTTTATTTTATTTTAATTCGATATATTTTATTTTTATTCCCTTCATTTTATTTTATTTTATTGTATTTTATTCTATATAAATATATTTAATTTAATTAAATTAAATTAATTTTACTTTATTACATTTTAGTTTATTTTATTTAGTTTAATATAATGAAATTTAATTTAATATAATTATATTTTATCTTATATTATTTTGTTTTATTTAATTTTATTAATTTTTTTATTCGTCTTTTTATTTTAGTTTATTTCTCTATTTATCACCATAAGGGTATACGTCAAGTATCGGTTGTTTCACAACAAAATATTTAAAGCTATTATTTTTATACATGGAGTTATTTACCATGTGTTATTTCATTTTATTTAACTTTTTTATATTATTTAATTTTATATTAATTTATATTATATTCTTTTGTTTTTATTTGATTTAATTTTGATTAAATTAATTTATTTTATATATTTAATATTTACATACATTTTATTTAATTTTTTTGTTTTATTTTGATTATATTTTGTTTGATTTTATTTTTAAATATTATATTTTATTTAGATTTATTTCATTTAAACTAATTTAATATATTATTAATTACTTTATTTTATTTTATCTTATTTTATTTAATTTTATTATATTTTATATTATTATTATTGCTTTATATTGCGTTGCTGATATTTTTACTTTCTTTTGTCACTTTCTTCATTGATAATCTCATTTCAAAAGTTCAAGTATATATGCCTATACGTAAGTACGAATAATGCTGTTAAGCTGCTGTCTGGCTTCTTGCCTTGGCATAGGAGCCAAAAATAGCACAATTCCTTTTAATGCAAAAGCGAATTATTTTGTCATTGCAATTTGTTTAACCCACTTTAATTGAATACAAGAAACAGAAATTCGCCTGTGGCCAATGAAGACATGAATGAATTTAAAAATTGTATAAATATTTGAAGGGAAAAATGTGGCGAAGGAAATATTAAGGATTTAAAAAATTTATTTTTTATTAATTTATTGCTTTGGCCAAAACTCTCAGGCTGGATATGGTTTTGATATGAAAACCTCAGGAAAAATTTTGAAGTAATTTGTATGTAAAATAGCGCAAGGAGAAATATTTATAATAAACATAAGAGTATGTACATAGGTATTATATCAATATACATGTAGAAGGAAAACTTTTTGTCTAAAAATGTTTAATTGAAAATTTATTGTTAACGAATGTATGTATGTGATCGTAAGGCTTTCAAAAAGTAACAAATTTTCTATACTCTTCATGATTTGGACAGCAGTTCTTTGCCATTCGCCGGCCGGCCGGCAATTTATGGCTGCAAACACTTTTTCTTTTTAATATTGTTACTCATTATTGCAAGTTTTATCTTGCCTGTGAGACATTTTACTTAGACGCTTTAGAAAAATTAATTGCATATACATATAAGAAGTGAAAAATTTGTATATACGACAAATGACTTACAAGCGTGCCACACTGCATGGCGAGGAGCCAAGTGGGTCATTTACATTAACTACAATATATACATATGCGACATACATATTAACACTTGATTACTCACTCAGAGGTGGCAACTGATTTTAAGTTCAAAGCGCAACATTCATATATTATATAGTACATGTATATATTCTAGTATAGTATGTATTTATGAGTGTGTTCCGGAGCATATGCTGCAACAGCTGCAAGGCATTTAAATAGTTTAGTTGTCGCTCTTTATCAATCGCCAATTTCCGCTACTCTGCCATTGCGAGTAATTTTTTTTTTTATTAAATATTTACTTGCATTACTCAGCCAATGGAAAATCATAATAAAAATCAGCAATCGTCATATTCATAAATGTTCTAATAAATTTCTAAATCCAACTCGTACAAACCATTAAAATTGGTAATAAATCAAAATTTTTATCGCTGAATTTGTTGTGATTACTTCGCGTTACGCACAGCATCAATCAATCAAAATCAGTGCCGTGCAGTCAGTTGCATTCTCTTCAATCGTTTACTGTTTGCTTTGGCTATTACAAGTTTTAATGTGCCATTTTCACAAATTTATTGACTGGAAATCACTGTGTTCAACAGAATAAGTAAGACATTAGTATAAGTATTTTCGAGCAGCAAAAAAAACAATTAGTTTAGAAGAGCATTTATTTGGTTTAACATTCGAAAAAATATTTTGCGAACAATAATTGTTGAATTAATAATTTTTGAACTACGGCCCCGGCTATTCATTTTTCTGATCTTAAGTATTTGACCTGCGGTGTACAAAATGGTTAAGGAACTAAATACAGCGAGCACTTCTTTGTGAGGCTTCTAAAGTTTTATTGCTATAAAACTGAAGACTCATGACCATCCGATATGAGTTTTGCTTCGCCCAATGGGCAGAAAAATTATCACTTCCGATGTAGGCCAGTTTTACTTCTACGTTTACATACAAAGCTGTAATTTTTTGGGGCTCAGTAAACCTACACGTAGCTACATCTATGTCATTACCCGTTATCAATAATTACAGTACCATGCTCGCAGATTATTTGTTTCCAAATGTTGAAGAGGATGACACGGACGATGTGTAGTTTTAGCCGAACGGTGCTACCTATCACTCGGCCAACCTTTGCAATCAACTTTTTACACCGAGCTGCGATCTACTATATTTATGCAAAGAGCCGACTCAATTGGCATGAAATATAAGCTCCTCATATAGATTTAGCCAAGTGAAACCAAGTCACTCTCTCCATCATAGGAGTAGAGGTCTTCCTCTGGCTCTACACAAATTATTACCTACCAAAATAAAGTCTCAATGCAGTGGCCAATGAAGCAGTTATCAAAGTGCCAAGAACTTGCAGAAGTAATAATGCCACCGAACCATTGTAATATAAATCAATTATTGGAAGCTCCATCGAGAAGGCACTCCTTGAGAAAAAAGCCATAACTGGCAAAAGGTAACTTTCCATGAAAGATTAGCTATTCCACGCTTGTCGCGGCAATCTGATCGCAATAGGTTCACCCATATGCTAAGGTCGCTTTCGTCTTTAAGAAGAGGTGGACATTCCGACAGAGCACAGAGATATAGACATGCAGGTCCTAAGGTTTTTGAGATGTTAAGTTCCAATGCCAGTTACTAAACTATTGCAGGGGAAGACTATTCTCGAATGAATAAGGGAAAGTCTCGTTTCCAGAGAGAGATGGTCAGCAACAAACGGCAGCGAATAAACAAGCGCCTTTGTACCCGCGAAGAAATTAGCCTC